TTATTTAAAAATCCCATAAGAAAAACGAAGAAATAGAACGAGCGACGACTGAAAAAGTAAACAAAAACATTAACGGCTAACCACAATAACCGAAAATGACGACAGGCTAACCGCCTGACAGCGACGTCGATACCGACAACAACAATCGACAGAATTCATTATTTAGGAATGTAATGAAACGTGTAAAAAGGTAAACAAGTGTGTCCTCCAACTCTCTGGCTCCGTTCATTTACTCCCACATGGATGTGCATGTGGTACGCACCCAGCTATCACAGCACGCACTCGATTATGTGTTGGAAATTGGTGAAGGAGGAGGCGGAGTATCCCTTGGCTGCAATGACGATGACCCCGGTGGGGAGTGTAAGGTGATTTGTTTGCATAGAAGGCCGCCTCTCTCCCTTAGGTCCATGACAAAGATGAGAAATTAAGTGTTTAATGATGGGTAAACTGTAACAGAATATTAAATGAGAGAGTGAAAATGACAGAGAAGGGCTGGTCTCATGCGAAATTTATTGATCGTAATTACTTACTGGGAGGGGGGTTAAGAATTCGAGAATGCTTGGAAGTGGAAAAATGCATTTCTAAACACCCTCCCCCTAAAATGGAGGGTATATCAAATTCTTCATTTGACAATTGTTCGGAGACCACCTAAAGTAAATATATTTATGATCAACTTAAAACTTTATGACGGTTTAGTGACGAAATTTGAAATTACGATAGAGCTCGCACTATTAGAACTGAGAGCCTTGAAACTATGCACAGGCATCAAAAATGCTTCTATTATGTTTGGAATATGATTTTCGGCATTTTCCCTTAGTTTCGGTATTTCGATGTGATGTGACATGTCGAGCACTCCACTAAACAACAACAAAAGTTTATGGTATAGTCCCCATATAGAGGTACTTACTGATTGCCAGTAAGTCTCAGTCCTAGTCCCCAAACAAATCAGCGTTAATTTAACTTTTCGGGTTTCCAAAGGATAGTTTACTCCCCACATAAAATATATAGCCCAGATCGACTTAATTAGTATCGCCCCATAAAATACCTCCTGATTTTTCGGTATTTTGAAAGTTTGGGTCCCAATTCAAAATTAAGAATTATAGGAAAGTTTACAAAATTAAATAAAAACCAGTAAAAAAGCTGTAAGTTCGGCCCGGTCGAACTTTGAATACCCTCCACCATTTGGCACAAATTTGGCAATTAAAAAAAAAATAAAATCCATTAAAATTTCTGTTAAAATCTTAAAAACACCGAATTTAGCCGTATATTAGGTCCATACTACGACGTGGACCTGCATAAGTAACTTCGTCACGAGCTATTACAATATTCAAATGCGCAACTTGAAAAAAAATCTGTTTATAATGTAGCTAAAATGATCTAAATATAGGGAGGTACCATGGGGGTTATAAAACGTGGAGCTGCACAGACAAATTTCTGGCATAGGCTGCAGTATCCATTACGAACTGCAAATACAAAATTTGAAATAATTCTGGTAAATAATGCCTCTAAAATCATCAAAATACCGAATATGGGGGGTACCCTTATATGGGGGCTATACGAATACGTGGACCTACATGGTCCATTTTCTGTCTTAAGCCAAAGTATCTATTAAGAACTTTAAATACCAAATTTAAAACAATTCCAGTAAATAATGTCGCTAAAATCATAAAAAAACCGAATATCGGGAGGTACCGTTATATGGGGGCTATATGAAGACGTAGACCTACACGCATGAATGCGTATCATTTGCTTTAGAGTATTTACAATTTGGGAACTATATCCAACTCTGAATCCTGAATCCAACTCTGAATAAATTACATATTCATTTCAGATTTCTGGTTAAGAGAAATATTTAGATATTGTAAAGAATCGCCGACTTCTTTCGAAAGTTATGACAGATATAAGAATTGGAAATTGTGACCCTTTGTGGGCGAGATACCAGAAGGGGTTAGCAGATGTATATCATCTTCAAAACAGATCTTGCGCTAGCAAAAATATTTGGATGTGTGAAATTTAAAGAGAGTTGGACGTTTTTTTTTCGCTCCCTTTGAACGTTTTGTTTTTCAAAATCTTGAACCCTATGTGGGGGAGGTACCCGACAAAATGGTCCCATCTCCAAGAAGATGCACCAAGTCTTATTTTCAAGTTATTTATTTATTATTTCAATTTATTTTCGCCTTTTATGAGATTTATGGATGCTCAAAAGGTTGAACCTTTTTGGGGGAGGTACCAGAAGAATTGGACCGATACATCCTATCTTCACACCATACCTTTTATTAATAAAAATATTGTGATGTGTGTAATTTGAAGAGAACCGGATACTTATTTCGGATTTTATGATTGTTTTGTTTATTCAAAATTTTGACCCTTTGTGGTGAAGGTACCAGAAGGAATTATGCAATCTCTGCCATCTTCATGACAGATCTTGTGCTGATGGAAATATTGAGATGTGTCAAGTCTGAATGGAATTGGATGTCAATTTCGTGTTTTATGCGCTGAATGAATAATCCAAATATTGACCCTTTGTGGAGGACGTACCAGAAAGAGTATATCGATACATTCCATTTTCACACCAGATCTTGGATTAAAAAAAGTATTGTGATGTGTGTAATTCGAAGACAATCGGAATCTTGCATCACATTTTATAAGAGTTATAATTACTCAAAATTTCGACTCTTTGTGGGGGAGATACTTGATGGAGAGGACCGATATTGTCCATTTTCGGACCTGACAACACTCATGCAAATATTAGGTTTTGCAAAGTTGGAGCAAAATCGGAGTATATTCTCTATATAAATGTTGACATTTTGTGGGGGAGGTAAATGAATGAGTGGACCGATATTGCCCATCTCCGAACTCGATCTAAGTTTGTCAATAATATTACGACATACCAGGTTTGGATCAAATCGAATCCTGACGAACATCGCTATACCGACTCCAAATGTTCTGAAACGGATTTGGTCCAAAGAGACCTAGGGTCTAAAACCGTTATTTCGATGAGCCACCAAGAGATATATACCCTCTCTAGCCATGTGGCTGAGGGTATACAAATATTTATTGGAGCAATAGATATACCGGTCCGAGTTTCATCAAATGGAGAAATTCGGCTGAATATGCAATAATCTATCCAATATGGGTTGAAATTACATATATCGTAGACAATGGCCCTAAAATCGAATGAAGATGTATATCTAAACCGATCTGGATAAAATAAACAGATGTATTTTATTTTCGAATTGAAGTACTTGCTTCTGGGCTGAATTTGGTGCACAATTCACCCGAAATCGGTTGAAGATAGATATGGAAGCTATATCTAAATTTGAATCGATTCTTACCAATTTCAATAGGGTCCATTCTTGGGGCAAATAAATATTGTTTGAAAAATTTAATCTCAATCGGATAATAAACGTGATCTGCATTTTGCTCACAAAATACATGGACGGACGGACGGATAGACGGTCAGAAGGACTGACATGAATAGATTATCCTAAAAAGTAACAAAGAGCCTATCTCGCTTTCTTCTCCATGTTACAAACAAATTTACAAAGACATGCTAGTCTTACCAATATGTAGTGTAGGATAGAATAATCCGCCAAATTTAGTAAAAATCGATGCAGACAAAGATATAGTTCCCATATTTTAGTTCTATCCGACTGTAAAATTTAACCTCTCTAAAAGCATATTACTCCAATCTAAAATCAAATAGTCAAACTTCAAAAAAAAAAAAAGTAAAGAAGCCCCTAAGTCTGGCGGACCATACTTTTAATACCCTCCATCATTTGGAAAGAACTTGAAACATTGCAAAAAAAAATCCGTCGGATATACCGCTTAATCAAAACATGGTAACTTGGTAACATGGTAGCTATACGTAGACCAGGACCTGCATCCCCATTTTTTTTCATGGGCTGTAGTAGCCATTAGGGCCTTCAAATATTAAATTTGAAACAATTCCGTTGAATAATATGACTAATATCTTCAAAATACCGAGAAAAGGGAGGTGCAGTTATATATGGGGTATACGAAGACGTGGACCTGCATAGACAATTTTCTGATGTAGGTTAACGTATACATTACGAACTTCAAATTAGAAATTTGAAAAAAAAAATTCCGGCAAATAACCACGCACGCACCACGCAATTTTTTGTCATAAGTTGTAATGCCCTGTAGGTCCATGTTTTGGTATAGCCCCCACTTTATTTTCGGTATTTTGGTGATTTAAGCGATATTATTAACTGGAAATGTTTCAAATTCGGTATATGAAGTTCAAAATAGATACTTCAGCCTAAGACAGAAAATTGTCTCTGCAGGTCCACGTCTTCGTATAGCCCCCATATAACTGTAACTCCCGATATTCGGTACTTTGATGATTTTAGCGCCATTATTCACCGGCATTGTTTCAAATTTAGTATTTGAAGTTCGTAATGAAAACTACAGCCTATGAGAGAAAAGTATCAATGCTGGTCCACGTTTTGGTATAGCCCCCATGGTTCCTCCCAATATTCGGCATTTTGATGATTTTATCTATATTATTTAGCGTTTTCTTTTTTTTTCAAATTTCGCATTTGGATATTGTTATGGCTTTTCACAAAAGTTGCCTATCCAGATCTACGCCGTCGCAAAGCCCCCAATATAATGGCAAGATACAGTATTTTTAAGATTTTAACAGAATTTTTAGCGGATTTTATTTATTTATTTATTTTTTTTTTTTTTTTTTTGAAAATTGACAAATTCGTTCCAAATAGTGTAGGGCATTCAAAGTGTGGCGCGGCCGTACTTACAGCTTTTTTTACTTGTTTTTATTTATTTTTTCAAATTCTTAGGTGGAAGGTATTAAAAGTTCGACCCAGCCGAACTTACTGCTTTTTTACATTTTTTTCTGTCGCACAGTGTTATTATTACTCACAGTCTAACGGCACCTGTTTTCTATGTTTTTATAACTATATCTATTCTTTAAGCAGAATCCATTAACAAGATTTCTATTTTCCAATTTCCCTTTGCAGATGCATCATCCCATACAAATGAAACCGGCCGATAGTGAGAATCGTAACGGTAAGTAAAACAATATTTCTGTCTTCAATATTCCATAATCCCAGAAGAAATTGTGTATTTTTTCTCCCCAACAACTTTGCCAGACATAACAAACAAGTCATAATGATTTCGCAAATGGATATCTGGCTAAGGCCTAAAGATTAGCAGTTTTCCACGACAGTGGAAAACTAAAGCGAATGCATGTGCATACATATCTCATAAAAGCATTTTCAGGTAGTGCCCGGAACAAGGCCTTAAAGCACCCCTTTTTTGTGTGTGGCCTATTCCGGTCTAAGGGTTTACTATGATCCTAGACGGGGGAGGAGGGCAAAAAAGTAATATCATTTCTAATATGCAGCTCAACGCACCTACGCACACACAGGGATATACAGACATATATAATTACACACATACATGTATACATTCATGTAATACTCCCAAGGGACGTATGCAGCTGGCATTCGTCATCATCGAACAAATCAATATTGCAAAGTTGCCAGGAAGATAGTAACGAGAATAAAGTAACCATTCTCTGTGTCGTTAGACCAAGCAATCGAAATAAAACCGGTAAAAGGAAACAGTCATGTTGTGTTCTACTACAAAGAACATATATGAGGATTTTTACACGACGCAAAACTGCAAAAAAACAACAACTCATTTTTTTAAGCTACAAGAAATTTGTAGGAGGATATGTGTCTATATGCTCTAGCCTGCCCTCCCGTCTTTGCAGTTGGCAATCACATTGGATGATAGTGATTGCCTATCCTTTGATTACTTGCCCAGATCCCCATTACGGTTTTAGGCTGATGGGATTTTTTTTGCTGCTTTTGATGTTGTTGTTTTGCTAGTTTCTTGTTTGTGTTGTATTTTTTGCCCCATCCTTACAATTACAATCTCATCGATTGCAATACGCATCTTTGAAAGATTATTGCACTTGGAAAAGTTGGCTGCCAGCCTCTAATGGGTGTGGGTGTCTGTGTTCGGTTATTTGGCTGCGTAACTAACAGCCTCTCTCTCTGTCGGCAGATTTGTTGTTTGTGGGCCGGCGATGTGAATGTGTAATATGTAATGGAAGTGCGATTGTCTACAGTATTCGATATGAACTTACAAGGTTCTCATGCATTGCAAAGAGAACAACTGTAAAAAAATCAATGATACTTTGTTTCGGGCATGATAGGACAGCATGATAGGACAATTTTCTCCATACCAATTCAGCCCACAAATGCTGTTATTATTTTGCACGGTTCCACTTTAAAATTTTACAAAATCTGGGGTATTATTTAACAAGTAAACCAGTAAAGAAAGTCCTAAAGTCGAGCGGGGCCAACATTATGATACCCTACAATACTTTGCTAATTTAGTAGAGCTCCACATAACAATTAAAAGTTTTTATGGGAGAATTTAATCATACACGCTATGCTTATAATTATTATTTAAAGTTCGAAGGACTAAATATGACGAAACATTTGTATCTTTTAAATCCGAACTTGTATTGCCCATTTGGTGCAAAATTAATTTGAAATCAGATAAAGATATATATGGAAGCTATATCCAAATCTGAACCGATCTCGATACAATTTGGCAAAGATATTTCTGAGGTGTATTTGATATATTTCCCTGAATATCGTCGTTGCGGAGTGCATATTACGGCTGTGGGTAACAAATATAATAAATCGGATGAACAATATATATGGGAGCTATAGCTATATCTCAACCGATCTTCACCAAATTTGGCAAACTAGCTTCTAGTCTCAATTCGGTCGAGTGTGCCAAATTCCATCCCATTTGGACAAATATTAGACGTTTGGTGTACAATAAAATGTAAATCGGACGAAGTTATATATGGAAGCTATATCCAAATCTGAACCGATCTCGATAAAATTTAGCAAAGGTATTTCTGAGCTGCATTTGATATATTTCCCCAAATATTGTTGTTACGGAGTACATATTACGTCTGCGGAGGACAAAAATAACAAATCGGATGAACAGTATGTAGGAGCTATAGCTATATCTGAACCGATTTCGATCAAATTTGGCATACTTATTTTCAGGCCTAATTTGGTTGTATGTGCAAATTTCCATACTATTTGGGCTGATATTACACGTTTGGTGCACAATAAAAGGCAAATTGGACGACGATATATATAGGAGCTATATCTAAATTTTAACCAATTATCTCCAATTTTAATAGGGTTCGTCCTTAGGCCAAACAAATGATTTGTGCAAAATTTCACCTGGATAGGGCGACATGTACTTTGTTTACAAAAATACATGGACAGACGGACGGACGGACATGCATAAATCGACTCAGAATGTGATTCTATGCAGATCATCAAAAGGAACTATGGGTCTATCTCGTTTCCTTTTGCCTGTTACAAACAAATGCAGAAAGACATAATACCCTTACCACTATGCAGTGTTGGGTATAAAAAGCGGCTAATATCTGCCGGGCAGAACATTAAATACCCACCACAATTTGAAAGGATTTTGAAAATTTTCAAAAAAAGTAAAAAAAAAAGAAACGTTTAAAGGAAAGCCGTAAGACGTGGGCCTTCATATGTAATTTTTTGTCATAGGCTGTAGTACCCATTTAGGTCTTCAAATACGTAATTCAGAACCATTCGGGAGAAAATGTAGCTATAATCATGAAAATACCGAATATAGGGAGGTACCGTTATATGGGGGATATAGGAAAACGCGAACTGAACTCAATTATTTCGAAAAGTAGCGTGTCAGATAACTTAGATCCAGAATATATATACCTTGTAGGGTCTATGATCCAGAATATATATACCTTGTAAGGTCTATTATAAGTATTTCGAGAAGTTACAAACGGAATGACAAAGTTAATATATCCTTCATATAATGGTGGGGGTATAAAAATTGTACGTAATAATAGCTCAATTTTTGTTTTTATACCATGCCGTTGTCTTTTTATACCCTACACCACATAGTGGTAAGGGTATTATGTCTTTGTGCATTTGTTTGTAACATGGAGAAGAAAGCGAGATAGACCTATAGTTACTTTTGAGGATCTTCATAGTATCACTTTCTGAGTCGATTTATGCATGTCAGTTCGTCTGTCCGCCCGACCGCCGTCCATGTATTCTTGTGAACAAAATGCAGGTCACATTTATTATCCGATTGAGATGAATTTTTCCATACAATATTTGTTTGGCCCAACGACGAACGCTATTGAACTCCATATATCTTCAACCGATTTCGGGTTAATTGTGCACCAAATAGCCAATTTTGGCACATCCAACCGAATACAGTCTAGAATCAAGTTCATCAGATTTAGTGAAAATCGGTTCAGATATAGCTGTAGCTCCCGATATATATGTCCGATTTGGTGTTTAAGTTCCTCACATGCATAATAAGCACCTCACAACAATGATACCAATACCAAATTTTATTAAGATCGGTTCAGATTTGGATATAGATCCCATATATATCTTCAACCAACTTCATATCAATCCAAAAGTCCTGAATTTCATTATATCCGACCGAATCGGTTCAGATATAGCTATCACTCCCATATATAGGTTGCATCCGATTTGGTGTTTAAGTCCCCCCACATTCGTAATATCCATACGACAACAATGATATTTGGTACCAGATATTTTATAGAGCTCAGAAACATGTCCGCCAAAGTTTATCGGTTCAGATTTGGATATAGCTCCCAAATATATCTTCAACCGATTTCGGGTTAATTGTGCACCAAATGGCGAATATCTGTCCAAAAGTCCTGAATTTCGGTATATCCGACCAATTTCAATCTAAAAGCTAATATATCGAAGTCGGAGAAAATTGGTTCAGATATAGCTTTAGCTCCCATATCCCAAATCCCATCAGATTTGGTGTTTAAGTCCCCTACATTTGTAATATCCATTCGACAACAATCATTTTTGGTACCAGATATTTTATAGAGCTCGGAAATACGTCTGTCAAAGTTTATCAAGATCGGTTTGGATTTGGATATAGCTCCAAAATATATCTTCAACCGATTTCCGTGCTGTGCACCAAATGTCGATTATCTATCCGAAAGTCCTGAATTTTGGGACATCCGACCGAATTCAGTCCAATAGGAAGTACATCGAATTCGGAAAAAAAATCGGTTCAGATATAGATATAGCTCCCATATACATGTTTCATCCAGATGTCCGTCGTCCGTTTGTCTGTCCTTTTGTGGAATTCACTTTAGCTTCCCCGAATTTTTAGTACTTTCATAAAATTTTACTCAGATGTGTTTTAGGTCTACAGGACTTTTTGCATTAATTATAGGTCCACCATGTTTTGGTGTATTCCACACATAAATGTACGGAACATTTCGGGTTTTAATCACAATTTCGAAATTTGCTGTAAATTGGTAAAATGTGTTCCCATTATATAAAATACATTCATTCATAGAACTGTCAATATAAGTCAGAGTTTTGGCTTAATCTCCATAAAACTGTATCTTCCTCTATTCGGTTTTTTAATTATTTTAGCGGCACCATTGACCAGTTTTTTTTTTTTTTTTTTAATTTCAAATGGAAGTTCGTTGTGGGTGATACAACCTTTCATAGAAAATTGTTTATGGTCCGCGTCTTTGTATATCCCACAACGGTACCTCTCTTTATTTGGAGTTCGTAATCGGTACGAAATCCTATGACAGAAAAAGATTATGAAGATCCACGTCTTCCTATAGTCCCCATGTAACGGTTTTCATTTGAGAGTTTGGCTCGGCCGAACTAAGGTGCTTTTTTACTAGTTTCGCTCTTAATTCTCAATTCTGTATTTAAGTGGTATAGTAGGAAGTCAAAATATTTTAATATTTTTTGTCATGAAATTCTACTATGGGTCTTAAAATACAAATTAAAATACCTAATTACAAGGAATTCTTAATTTTAAACGTAGTTCATATGAGTTTAGGCAGAATTTCCCTGCAAAGCATCATTTAAGAGGGACAACACCAGTAACAAAACCAGCGGAGAAAGTCTAAATTTGGTCGTTAGTGCCAAGTCCACCCCATTTGGGCT